ATATATATACTCAGATTTTAAATTATGAAAAGTCCCATGAGCCTTTGCTGCCTGAGCATGTTGAATTTTTTCAATTTTGATGGGCTGAAAAAACAAAAAAAAAAGAATATGGGCAACCACACACTGCTAGCGTAATTATAAAAGGTAAAACAACTTTACTCAAGTATTTACATTTCTTATATTACTGCATTTGGCCCGCGGCCCTCAGGTTGATTTTAATTTTGGCCCTTTCAGGGAAAATGTTTGGGCACCCCTGGTTTAGAGGGTTTAATTCTCTGACAGTAGAAACAGACAATTTATGGAAAATGCCTTCAGATTTTTAATTCATCATTTAGTTTTTTTCTCCATCTAAACATGAGAGAAAAATACTCTTTTCTTCGAGTCATTTTATTTATAAAACACATTTAAAGCCACTCTGGTTAGATCAAAGTGCTGTACAATAAATGAATCAAACCAAAGGCAATAAAACACTGTTTCATCCAAATCTGGTATGTCTGTGTGCTTTTTTTTCTTTCAAATATTTCATCATATATAACCAGAATGTGTAGAAAAATAAAATATTAAATGATTTTTTTGTGAGACGTTTTCACCATCGTACTAAAATTCTATTGTATTTACATTTGCAGGACACCYTCATCCAAAACAAATGACCAAAACTCAACCATCCAAAGTGTTGCAAAGTGATTATTCAGGATGTATGTTCAAGTCAAAACCTTTTGTTTTTTTCAAGATAAAGTGCCACAAACTGCACCTCTTCAAATGGTCACRTTAATTTGCAAGGGTTCAAACTATCCACTGATTAAAATAATCAACTTTAAATAAATAAGATAATTAAGAGACATATGCAAAATCAAACCTTTTACCTGTTAATACATTTTGTTGTGTACTTGAAGTCTCCAGGAGTGCGTAGACTTTTAATTTAGTCTCTCCCGGTGCTGCAAAGATATCTTTATAATCATATATTAATAATCATAAATATTATAAATACTGTAGTCAAATTATTTGTGACGGAACAGAACAAGAAGTTCTGAACAACTTACCAACGACAGTTTGCTGGTTTTTATTCTCCTCTGGCTCTGGGTCATTCTCTGGCTCCAATATGTAAGGCTGGATGGACAAGTCTTCTGTTGGRGACATCTTTTAATAATTTGTAAATAAAAAGTTTCTGCGCTGCTATATAGTCATAAASCCCTCTATRAAAGTGAATGGGTGGGTTGTGAAGCACCTCCTTTGGATTTAAAGAGACAGCCTCAAAACGAGTTGATAGACACCTCAGAAAAGGGGTGAAAGAGGGGCTTATGGAGTTACAATAAGGAGGAATTCAGACCAAAGCTTTGCAGTTCCACTTTATATAGACCCCAACTTAAGAGATTTAAATTCAAAAAGAACAATTTAAAAGCATCGTATGTCTCCTTTAACAAGTAGAAAGGAGTAGCTAATCTTCCAAAACGTTTGTTTCTGAAAAATTGAAATCACGTTTTTGCCATTAAAAAAACAACCTGCCATGATCTTAAAARGGATTGGGTATGAGATTTGTTTTGTGGGATGATTTGTAATTCATAAATAAAACTAGCATCATTTCTGCCTGCCAGCAGCTGAGACTCCTGGTATTCCCAGTGGACGGCGCTTGGTTGCTTTAATAACCGTTGGGTATCGGAGCAGAGGCATTTCTGACACAAAATGATCAGAACTGGGGCAACGACAGCTGGCCAGACCAGATTCAAGTCTTGGCCTGTGGGTTGTTTGCTGTGAMTTATTTGTTTCTCTGTCACTAGTTTCCTATTCCTAAAACCAGAATAGCACAAAAACAAACTTGGGCATTAAGTTTGAGTTCCCGACTTAAGAAAAAGAAAATTGTTGATGTTTGGTAGCACTGAAGGGATCCTCAGATGTAACGCTGCGTGAGAAAAGCGGCCCTAGATAATACCAAGCCAGTTTTAATTCGTCAGAAAAACAAACTTCTTGAAGAAATCATCACTGTTGGTGGAATCAGATTGTTCCTAAATTGATTTTTATTTCTGTTCATTGTGCAAAACGAAAAGCCTAATCAAGCTCAAATTTGCATTTATTTGGTAATGGAAGACTTGAATAAATTAATAAGGCTGCTACTTGGCCTTTCGGTCTCAGGAGTGATGAGCAACACAGTATGGAGTGAAACGTTCATGCCTRTTGGTGAAATTAACTGCGCAGGAGGGGACTGACCTCTAAAGATGATTGTTTGGAATGAAAGCGAGCGGTCATGCCTCTTGATGAAGCTGATAGTGAAAGATGTGAACAGATGACCAATTTTATTTCTCATTACTTGTTTGATTATTCAGCCCCGTGCTATTTAGATTTAAATTATTCCAGAATTAGTGTGGGATCTGTGTAAATTCCATCGGAGCTGCGGCAACTCGCTCGCCGGACGGGAGATTATTCGTTTACAGGTTAATTGAGCCCTTTCTGGCCAGCTGGAGGTACGGATGTAAATGTTAGCAAATGGAGACAAACAGTTGGAGAGCCACAAATTTGGGATTTAGATGTTTTTGCTCAAATCCTTTAAACACATTCATTTGTAGAAATCTGTTTGATATTTTTCCCTCAGGCAAGTTAGTTAAACTTACAGATGAATATTTTCTATAAAAGAATTGRTGCAGACAATTTTCAATAATACTCAAAGTGAAACGATTCCAAG